ATGTTGGCCATTCTTGCCAGTGATCCTCTGGTGAGGGCTTCAGCCCTGCATGCTAGGTTATGAGGTGCCCAAGGAAGGCTTTTGAGGGTGATGATAGAACTGTTAAAAGAGGACACGGAGGCCCTTCTGACTCAAAATTAGAGCTAGAATCACATAGCCCAAAGTTACTAGAAAACTTACCACTACTTTGAGCAGTCAAGGTCTGGGCATCTTCTCTTTACCCACTGTGCCTATTAGGGAAATCAGGTGATAGTTTATTTCGTAATTTCTGAGAGTGCCGAGGGGCTCTGGGGACTCTGGTAAGAGTAGAGAAATGGCCATTACCCTTTAGGGCTTGGGAAGCCCCTGGTCACCCCGTCTCTCCCCTCTGCACCTAGCGAGTATACCCCAAAGGTCACTGGCTGAATGAGGAACAGATGATCTTACACTGGGCTGGCGCCCTACAGCCCCAGATGGAAGCTGAGCTGGGGAGCACGGCTGAGACCAGGCAGCCTCCTTCCTGAGTTAATACCTATAAACCACACAGACACCGCGACCCCTTTCCCCTAGACTCCAGGGCGTCCACTCCACCACACAGCTGCGAGACCGCGGACTGGGAAGGCAGGAGAGGGGTGGACCTGCTTCTAAAGGAGGCACAGAGGGCGCGCAGGGAGGGGCCGGCCTTACGTGCTTAATTAATTTAGTCTTTGCCATACACCTATAAAGTAGGCGGTATTATTACTCCCGTTTTGCAGGGAAGAAACTGAGGCACAAGTGAAGCGCGTTGCCCCAGGTCACACAGCTGTGACGGCAGAGCGGGACTGGAAGGCAGGCAGGCTTGTTCCTGGCTTCTTGTCATTTACCTGCCACTTGCTGGGAGCCTCAATCACACCCCCTTAGCCTCGTGACAGGGAAGCTCTGCACTTCCCTCCACTTGTGAGCGCTGACATCCACCAGACAGGTGAGATTGTGCGGGGGGGCGGGGGTGTTCTGCTAGCGACCTTGGGGGGCAATGGTTGAAGGAAGGAGCAGTGGAATACTTGCTCATTTTTCTTGCAAGCATGTACCTGTGAGCCCCAGTAATTAAACACAACCAAGAGGTAAAAGAGGTGAACTTGTGACCGGGTCTGTAACCCAGGGATCAGCCTTGGACATCACTAAGATAACTAGGCACGTCAATTACTCTGTCTCGCTGGCCCTTGTCTCCTTCTAAGAGAAATTGACAAGTCACAGCCCTTGCTGAAGGAACATCCCTCAACTGCCATATTTTTTACTGCTTGACCCTAATTCTCCCCCAGTTGACCCAGGGGTGGTCCCAGACCCAAAGGCCCCTGATTCATAGGCTGGTCAGGGACCTACAATGTGGCTAAGAAATGATGGTCAGAGACCAATCACATTCTCAATCTTGGGGATCTGATTCTGGAAATACAGAGATGGTGAAAGCTGTGAGCCATAGGGATTGAAGCTCAAAGAATCTGGAGATGGTTAAGGCTGTCACAGGTTAGGCAGAGAGACACTGACATTGCAGAAGGGCTGTAAGGTAGAAGAACATATACAGTGGAGGGTGAGAATAAGCTGGTTTGAAGTGAAGCAGATACAGGCGAGCTGTCAGGCCAAGTTGAAGGTGAAGCGTAATAGCAGTTGACGTTCAACCCTGCCTGCACGTAAGGATCATCTGGAGAGAAGTTTTTGTTTTTTGGTTTTTTTTTTTTTTGCGGTACGCGGGCCTCTCACTGCTGTGGCCTCTCCCGTTACGGAGCACAGGCTCCGGACGCGCAGGCTCAGCGGCCATGGCTCACGGGCCCCGCCGCTCCGCCGGCACGTGGGATCCTCCCGAACCGGGGCACGAACCCGTGTCCCCTGCATCGGCAGGCGGACGCTCAACCACTGCGCCACCAGGGAAGCCCTGGAGAGAATTTAACAAACGCCAGTGCCCGCACTTATCCCCAGAGAGTCTATGTAATTGGTGTGGAGTGGGGGCCGGGCATTAGTAGGTTAAAAATCTCCTCAGGTGACTCTCAGGTAGAGGCAGGTGGAGAACCACTGACCTGCGGGGAGGCTCCCTGGCCTCCTGAGGCTCCTTGTTGCTGCTGCGGTCTGGCTCCAGCTCTGCAGGAGGCCCCGTGGTTCAGATTCTCCTGGATCCTTTAGCAGAGCCTTTTGGATATTGAATCGCTTACAGCTCCTGCCTTATTCCTTGCTGACAGAATCCTAATTTTGTACAAGTATTGGAGCAGCAATATGGTCAAGGAAGATGGGCCCAACCCCAGAGGATGAAGACAATTGGTCCTCGCCAAACAGGACAATCCTATCCCCTTCTCCCATCTTAGAGATGAGTATGTGACCCAGTTCTGACCAATGACATGTTGCGGGGGGAGCCCCTCTGGGAAAGGTTTTCCCCTTTGAAACGAGAGGGAGAAGCTAGAGAAATGCCCCTTTAGCCTCTCTTGTATTGGGGAGTTATGCTGCCTGATGTGATGCCTGGAGCTCCTGGAGCCATCTTGTGACTATGAGGGGAAACCCAAGACACCTGCAGAGAACCTGACCAGAGCCTGATGTGACTGCTGCCATTAACCACCCAGGAACCACCCACCCCCAGACTTCTTGTTACTTACTCTATGCTTACTGTGTGCCAGGTGCCGTCCTAAGCGCTTTTCATGTCTGAATGCCGGGGTCCCCAACCCCTGCGCCGCAGACCGGCAACAGTCCGTGGCCTGTTGGGAAGCGGGCCGCACAGCAGGAGGTGAACGGCGGGCGAGCGAGCGAAGCTTCCTCTGCCGCTGCCCGTGGCTCGCACTGCCGCCTGAGCCACACCCCGCCCACCGCCTGTCCGTGGAAAAACTGTCGTCCATGAAACCGGTTCCTGGTGCCAAAAAGGTTGGGGACCGCTGTCTCAGCGGATGAAAGCTGGCTCCATTCCCTCACCTTCCCATACACCACCCACTACCCAATGCAATATGAGCATGTCTCTGTGAGACGGAGTGACCTAACATGTATATAGCCAAAGAGAACGAGAGGCCTCAAAGCTGGCTCATCCGCTGTCCACAGCCCACTTGCCCTGGCTCTCCTTACTGCAAGGTCCACACTGGGCTGGTGTTCAGGATGCTCCCAGCGGATGCCCTCCTAGTCACATTCCACAAAGCTGGCTGATTGGCTCTCCCCCTACCCTTGCCTTTCACCCCCTCACTCACCTCTCTACTCTTACTGCATTGCTTCCCTCATTTCCTTTTCTCCATCCCTCCAGTGACTGGATTTGAGAGGAAGAGAAATGGAGCACCCCTGCCCCGCCCCCCGCCCCAAACCAAAACTATGTGGAATGACGGTAGATTTTTAAAATTTGGATTTCTATGCAGTGGTTGAGTCCTTAAACATCAGCAATTGGTCTCATCAGCCTGGTTGTATCTCCAAAGTGGGCGTTCTTTTCATGCTGTCCTGTCCCCTCACCCAAACATAAATCGAAGTGGTCCCCAAGGAAGGGCCCTCTAGCCTCTTCCATGACTCTGCCTAGGGACTGCGCAGGGTCTGCACCCAGAGGTGTGCAGGCCCCTCTTCAGGCCCGCTCAGCAGACCCCACGCATTCCCCCACCTTCATAACTCTCCTTCCCAAGTTTGGAAGGTGGTCACCTTGCCTCAGCCCCGCGGTTCGAGCTCAAAGAACACCACAGGTGTGAACAGTTACACAGACTTTATTTTTCACCCATTGAGCACAGGAAGGTCTGGGCAGGCAGAGGCGTCACCATCACCTCCCCTGGTTCACAGACACAGGCCGTGAGACTTGGTGGTGAGGGACAGGGGTCCCACCCCTACCGCAGATCGCTATGGAATTATCACGGCAACGCGTTTGTTCTCAGTCCTATTTACACCAGGGAGTGTGGAGAGGGTACATTTCTTACACCAAAAATATATACTTTGGAATCTCTAAAACAAAAATATCTCTATCTCTACAGGAGACCTACTAGAAAGAACACAGAAAACGAGGGAAATGTACCAGCACCTCAAGCCGTCCCCTTCCGTGGGAAGGTCGCTCAGCTCTCCACCTGACACCATGTGCTTGGGAGGGCAGCCGTATATAACCAATCAGACAGACAGACACAGATCAATGAGGGGGAGGCTTATCGTCTTGGAGGAGTGAATATGGGAGAGAGGCATGGGGAGGAGGATTTTGGCCTCTTTTGCAAAAGGAGTTAATTGCATATTCAGTTTGGTACTTCTGTTTCCAACATTATTGCACATGTGAAAAACCTGCATGTTGGAGTCAACTGCAAACCTGCTAAGAGAACCCAAGCTCTGCTGATTTCTGCTGGGCTCGGGAAAGGGCTGTGAGTGGGCTCGCTCTCTCTCAGAAATATTAATGCCATCAGCTAGAAGAAAACTTCTGTATTCTCCAATGCTGAAAGTGGGTTAAAGAAAATGCTATTCTTTTTCTTTCCAGAAGGATCAGAAACCATTCCATTCCCTTTGAGCACAGAATCTTCTAAAAGAATTATGCTTAATGGATGAATCATGCCACTTTCTGAATTTTCCTCTTGAAAAGATTCACGTGACACTCCTTTCCTCTTTCCAAGCTTCAGGCAATCATATAGTTACTTCACACCTCTTTTGGTGGTGAAGATCAGCCTCCTTTCCGATAAAGAAATGTGAGCTGAGTCAGCTACCCATTCTCTATAATTAATGCAAGACCCCAAGGGCACCAAGAGTTATAAAGAGTAGATTCGGGCTTCCCTGGTGGCGCAGTGGTTGAGAGTCCGCCTGCCGATGCAGGGGACACGGGTTCGTGCCCCGGTCCGGGAGGATCCCGCACGTCGCGGAGCGGCTGGGCCCGTGAGCCATGGCCGCTGAGCCTGCGCGTCCGGAGCCTGTGCTCCACGACGGGAGAGGCCACAACAGTGAGAGGCCCGCGTACCGCAAAAAAAAA